ATTTTATTACAAACGAACCCAGAACAGACCCCTCTAAGGGCCTATGCTAGCACGTGCCACTGTAAATCCATCCGTTATAATTTAAAAAAAATTTACATTCGTGAAAGGTGCAACCGTTTTGACATGGTGCCACGATATGAAAAAATTACTGGGTCCGTCTCTGGATGAAACTCAACACAAAAAAAAACCGTCAATTGGTTATGATGAGATTCGAGAATTACTAAACGAACAAGATACCAATACTATAAATACAAGGCAATATTTTTGGTGTTGATGGGTTAACGAAAATGGGTTAACTTACTCTCATTTTGCATGTCGTAATAGTTTCGATATGTTGATTATGTTTAAACATTTGTAATCACGTGAGACCAGCATGTTTTCGTGATACCACTTTCTTACACTTGAAACTTCACTATGAAGGTAACCCTCACAGTCCTTTTATTGTGAAGGTTCGATTTTTTTTTACCTTCACAGCATTTTGTTGTAAAGTTTCAAGTGTAAAAAAATGATTTCACAAGTCTCATAAAAATAAATCGGTCTCACGTAAACCTAACCCTGTATTTTAAATATGTAATTTATGGAAAGATAATAAAAGAATTAATTAGATAAAAATAGAAAACCCTAGATTATAATTGGATTTTGCTTGGGGTGGAGGTTTCCAGGAATAGTATATGCTTCTACCCATCATGGATAAGAAGCATTTTGGAAGATTGTGATGACGTGGATTAAATATTTTTTTTAATAAAAAAACAACCTAAATAATTTTGGGATGAATTAGTTGCATCCCTACCCATTGATTTTGAATCTAAGTTAAATCATACATTGAAAATGTAAAAAATACGTTTTAATGTTAATATATCTGAAGATGAAATTAGCAGATAGATCTGTATTTAGACCATCTTCAACCCATCTACTAAAAATACTGAAAATGATGGATTCATTAAACACTAAAAAAATCAGTTTCAATCATAGACTGAAGAAAATCACTGAAAACCTTCTTTAATATTATAATAATAATAAAATAATATAAGTATTTATAAAAACTTAATATTATATATTTAATATATCATTTATAGTGACCAATTGTATTGACGTCTATAATTATTATTATTTTGATTAACCTGGATATTCAACCCGCTATGCGAGTCGACTAATCCCAGGATGATCGCCTGCTTTGCAGATAGCCCGGAGTCACCGCATTTAAACCTCTGTAGCCACAAGTGAATTTTTATTCCTTATTAGATTTGAATCTGAGACCTTTTGGTACTTTTTGACCTTTGGAGTCAAACTCAAACCAATCAGGCACCACCCTTGTGATTGATCTTTATAATTTTTTAGTGTTTTAGTGTTGGGTTAAAACATCAACCCAACAACTAAAAAGATAACACTAAAAATGACAGGTTAATTGAATATTAAAAAAAAATCAACTCTAACCACACATTAAAAAAATATTAAAAACATCATTAATATAATAATAATAATAATAATAACCATCTTGATATATTAGAATTTTATCAACACATACACACACACACATATATATATATATAATTATAATTATAAAAGTTTAATATTATATTAATATTTATTTACAGAGTCTTACTTTATTGACCTCCAAATATATACGCCAACAAATTTTACCTCTGTTTTTTTTAACGTTTTAGGTGTTAATTGCAGATGAAAACACCTTCCATTTTTGTATTTTTAGTGTTGGAATGAAGATGCCCTTAATGTGTTCTAGTATTTCACAAGGAAATAAAATGAAGGAAAGGGAAAGAAATAAATTTTTAATTTGTGTTGTTGAGAGTGAAGGGAAAGAAATTAAAGAAAAATAAATAAAACAAATTTTCATGTTCTCGAATGAGAGAGAAAGGGAAAAAAAATCATTCTTACAAATATACCCTTATTTATCTTAGGGATTGTTTGTTTACCTCTTAATAGTTCCATTTGAATCGCTAAAAGTTGAATCTTGTTTGACAAAAAAATCGGCTTCTTAATGGTTCTAAATCATCTGAATGATTTTTTATCTTGGATCTCTCTTAATCATTCAACACCCTAATTTCATTACGAATAATTACCAAACAATTATATTTCATTTTGCATTATATTATAAGAGTCTCTTAATCATTTTGATCACTTAATCATTTTGCACCAAAACATTCAGCAACTACCAAACAGTCCCTTATAGTGAAATGTACCTGATAGGTATATATGAGTTTATAATAAATATTTTTAATTTTTACAAGTTCTTTTTATTTCCTTCTCTTTCCTCCTATATTTAGGAAGAAAGTTTTGAGAGAAAAATCAACATTATTTTCCTTCCATTTCATTTTCTTTCCCTCTTTAAAGAACTTGAGAACGCAGTGAGAACACAACATAATTTTCTCCACACATACATCAACAACAAAGTTATTTTTTTTACATTTTCAATCCATGATTTGACTTGATTCTGATATAAAATGGATACATACAATATCACCCATAACTTCTTATAAACTGAAATCAATGTCATCATTTCGTAACAGTTATTAATAAAAGTAAAGAGTATTAAAAAAAAATAAAAAATACGGACTTTTATAGTAATTGTTACATGCAATGTTTTTAACAGTTGTCAAATACAGGTTTGAGATTGTAAATAGAAGTATTATGCATTAATGTAGAATAAGAGCGGACTAAATTTTTAGATATTAAAAGAAAATATACCGAAACCAATCTAAATTAGTTCACAGTTGATTTATTTTCAGTTAGGAATCATTTGGTCTCGATTGAACCGTGATACGATACGTATTTGGATTTATTTTAATTTTAAAAATAAATACCTAAAAAGTGTCGTCTTAATTTTTTTAATCGTGAACGTGTAAGCCAAGTTGTAAACACCTTGATTGATTTCCGTAGGGCTTTGGAGATACAAGATAATGAGACGACTGGGATTAACGGGTTAAAAACAAGAGTTTTCAAGAGCTAAATTTTATCTGTTAGTTGGATTGACCCTCGAAAGTCATGTCATTTCATGCGTGTTGTGCATTAAAACTGCATTTTACGTATTAAACAAACTATGCTTCTTCCAAAAGACGAACATGACTTGTTTATAGCATAGTGTTATTCCATGGATCTGAATTACACCTCCGTAACAATTAATACGGTATATTCACTAGGCCTGGCAACGAGGCAGAGATGGGGCAGGTTTAGTAATTCCTCGCCCCATCCCCGGTTTTTAGTAATAGCCCCCGACCTCGACCCCGGTCCTCGACGGGTACGAGGATTAACATCTCATCCCCGGTTAATATCCATTAGTTTGAGTTTACCGGGGATCACCAGGACCTGTTTCAGCAGAGAATCTCCGTCCTTGTTTCGAGTCGGCTGAGCTGGGTTACCCACCGAGCTGGGGTAAATCACCATCATTAATATTCACAAACTGAGTATTTTACAAGTCGTGTATATTAGGAATTACAATAAGACGGGCTTTTTCGAGACCCCTCGTCATATTATCCCACATGGAACCTATACGAAGTGTCAAAACAGGGATAAATCATACGAATGAATTATTTTCAATATCCAATACAGATTCAAAACAAAAATACACAGTATTTGACTGATTATATAAAATTTAATTAAAAATAATAATCAAACATATATGCATCAAATCATACACACATTTCCTTTAACTAATATTATAGGAGTTAACAAACACTTAGGCATTATTGATAACAACATTAATTAGATTTCAATTCAATTAAATATATAACAATCAAATTATAAATATTAATATTTAATTTCTTAGATCAAACACTAGTAAACAAATGGCAATAAGATATATATTTTTTTTGGAAAATAATATCAAATGTTATTAAACTCTTATAATTTTTTTGCAGATATAATGTAGTTTAAAACTGAAGATCATCTATATCAAATGCAGTCTGATTCTATAAAAAACGATCGTTATGTTTATTTAATCCAGTTTTAAATTTACAAATAACTGTCGAAAAAATACTTAAAATCCGTGTACCTTCTTTGTTGAAGTTTACGAAATTTAATCATGAAATTTGAATTAACGTTTTTTCTGCTGTCAACTTCTTCCCCACCCGTTCGCCGATCATTTCCGCACATGATCATCGCATCTCACAGTGCCCTCATCGTTTCCCCTCCCTCTCTGATTTCCTCATATCATCAACGACCCCATCCTTCATGATCAAAGAAAATACCCTTTAAACCCCCCGTTTTATTTCTTTATTATAATTCGTAAAGTTCGTTTTATTATATTTCGATTACCCCACACTCTATAAACAAACGTATTTTAGTCATTTTGGACGCATCTGATGACACCGATTGAATTATAGCCTCTTGCTAAATTTTGGTGTTAATTTTAATTTTACAGCAAAGATATCGATTTAAATAATGTATTTAATGGTCAGTAGCAATTAAAATAGGAAAAAGAAACTATAAACTATTATTTGAGCAAATGTTGCTGACTGGCAACCCTAACAAGTCTTGCACTGAACCTGACCCTATGAACCATATACGATGAGCCATTTCAATGCTAACTTGTTAACTCGAGGCTGGTAGAGGGTTCAAACCCGTCTGTTTGAACTTAAACATATTGTATAATTGAGCAAAGTCGTTCTATTCATTTATCAACTGAGTTACACGTATGATAACAGTTATATACTGTTTACTAGACATTGATTTTTTTTTATGCTCACAATATACCTTTAAATGAAATATATTATGTTTATAAAACTTAAATATATTTAATTATTTAATATTTAAAATGGGAAGTAGGGATGGATGTAGAAATTAATGTGGGGGATAAGAACATATCATAATTAAAAAATAAACTTTTTATTAAAATTTCCATATATAAAAAATAAATTTAATAAATAATAAAATCCTCATAAAAATTAAATGGTAATTATGAAAATAAATAGAAAAAAGGGAAAAAAAGCGGCAGCTGTACACCAAAACCAGAGTCTCCTCCGTTTTTGTTTCTTTCATCGCTCATCGATTTGAGCTAACAGAAGATCGTCAAAATTTTAGCACGATCCAAGCACAAAAGGGGGTCAGCAAATTGAACCAATTTTGATCAGAGATCGGGAACCGAGCTGACAATATTATTTTCCTTTTTGCGGTAATTTTTCATTTTGATTTTGGTGGGTGAAAATTGTTTTTGTTTCCGATCTTGTTGTTTTCCGATAATTCCTTCTTGGGTTTTGATGGGTTTTCGATTATCTGAAGAGGGTCGATGAGATTTTCGAGTTTCGTTGCGGTTTTGTAAAGCAAGTTTTGGTCGATTGGGATATAGCTTTTTTTCCTCCTGTTTTCCTTTTTTAAAATTTAGTTTTATCTGGGGAAAGTGTATTAGATTGGTTTCTTCTTTTTGGGGGTTTTCTTTTGGATGATTTCTGTTGGGAGTAGAGATGGTAGGAAGGGGTTAAGCTCGAGGTATGGTGTTGAAGGTGGAGAGATGGATTTAGAGACTGAACTTGAAGAAGGAGAGGCTTATTTTCAGAATAATAATGATGATGACGATGATTCAACAATTGACCCTGATGTTGCTCTCTCATATCTTGTAAGGAACAATTTCTTCAACTACTATTAGTCAAGCTTCGATTAGTTTGTTTCAATTGTTTGTTGTTCAATTACAATTATATAGTAAATGTGTGTTGTTTCAAAGCAATTACTGTATGTTGGATGGTTAGATCTATGTGTTGTTCATAATTTGGTTTGTTTCTGTATTTGTAGTAACTTGAATTAGTGTTTGCTGATGAATCTGTGGTTTTTTAGTAGTTAGATAATTAGCTTTTGTTTCTAATTGTGTTTAGTTATGTCTTCGATAGCATCAGAAATGATTTGATTGTTGGAGACCTGTGGATATTGGATTGTGCATAGTGAAGATCACTGGGAGCTTATTAAGCATAATTGGTTAATCAATTTATATTGATATGGAGTGGTTGAATTTTAGGTTGCTTTTTTTTAGTGGGGTTTTGAATCATGATTTACTGTATTTGAACACGTGACGAATCTACTATTTAAACCTAGAGAAACTATGACAAGTGGTTTTCTTTTTTGGAAGGGTGTCTCAGGCAATGCCCGAACTAATCCCGGCAAATTGTGACTGCAAGAAATCAGTCCTGATAAACTCAATGGCCACAATTGTTGTGTATGCCTGGAATAGAATCCTGGGCTGATGGGATATTCCACCACATTGCCCACAACCTCAACCACCAAGCCACAACCCTTGTGGTTAACAAGTGGTTTTGGTTTTAGGCAAGTAATTATGATGTGGATCTATGTTGCAAGGATACAAGTGGTGATATACGAATGTAGTGATACGTGGATGCTAGAACTCAAAATCCCTAAAAAGTTTATGATCCCACATCCACGTGTGTGTTTATATAAATGTGTGTGTGCGTGTGTGTAGAAGTCTAAAAGCAAACCAACAAAAGAAAGTGGATGAACACATATAAACTTAAACCTTATCATGGCTTTTAATTAGTCCAAACTAACAAAGGAAAAGATTCATGGTGTTGCCTAACTTCATTCTTTCTCATGCTGCCATAAAGCTTAAGTTGTACTTTAGATTTTTTTACTTTGATGTTTTAATTCTTTAATGGTGATTGCTCCTTCCATATCCACAATTAGCATCCCTCGTATATGTGGTCAATGATTCAGGGATACAGTCAACGCCACAAAGGCCGCACTCCAAAACACTAGAATGGGATTTCTATAAGGTTTAGAAGCACCGCTAGTTTCTAGATGTGAATATGTCAAGATGTTGTTTACGTTTAAGTAGAAATTAATGACATTGGTATCGCTATTTTCCTGAATTGTTTGTATTTCTTTCAATAAAGATTACTTTGCTGGCTTAGTACTCCTTCCATTCGAAATGGTTAGTCCTTTAATGTTTTGCCATGCTAATTAAGGAATCCAGTTCTAACTTGTAACTACCATAAAATGCTTTTCCACCATTGCAAATAGGTTGATGGGTAGTTTTTTTCCCTATTTAATTTTTATAAAGGGTTCATGGGTGGTTGATTTTATCCTAGAAAAGAGAACAAAATATTGGAAGCAAAAGGGAGAGAAAGGTAGATAGGGGAATTCAAGAACAAATATTATTTGATTGCTTCTACATTAGCAAAGTGACCGACATTTTTTAACAAATAATGATTAGGGTTTCTTTTTCTTTTCTTTTTATGAAGTAGAGAAACGCAGTTAGTATGTACGTGTCTTGCTCATTTAGTTTTGTGCTTGCCATATTTGAACTTTTGACAAAAGAATTTATAAGCGACGTGATTCCGTCTTGCCCTATGGAGACTGTACTTTGTTCTGATGTATATTTGTTGTTGCGATTTCTGAAGGATGAGAAGCTTCAGGATGTCTTGGGACATTTTCAGAAGGATTTTGAAGGTGGTGTTTCAGCTGAAAATTTGGGTAAGTTAAAAGAAGTTGCGGATCGTTGGTATTCCCAAACTAAAAGTGCTGGAATGCTGATTGTAGCATTTGTACTTATTTGCAGGGGCAAAGTTTGGGGGATACGGTTCGTTTTTGCCCACTTATCAGCGTTCTCCTGCTTGTCCTCATCCAAAGACGCCGCCAAAAGTTACTACCAATACTGCCTCCGTATTCCCGATTGATCTTCAAATAGAGGTAATGAGTTTTGGAACATCCATCGTCGTCGTTGTATTATAACTCCATCTAAACTATAGTTAATGGTTGCATCTACGTTTAGTTGTGTTCTTAAAAGCATTAAGCTGAGCTAGGCAGTTTCATTGACCTTATAGTGCTTAATCCATAAGTTGAGGCGTATGTGGTTCTCATTAAATAGGGCAAATTGGATGAAAATGGAACATACTTTGTTCGGTTCCTATTTTAGGGAACTTACTTGATAGGGCATACGTGAATCTCTTGATTAGGGTGTTTTGTATTCCTCAGTATTTATACATTTGTACAAGGAAATGGAATCCTGGTTGTAGAGGAAGATTACTTAACGAAACCTAAATATATACAATTTAGGAAACATAAATATATTATTCACATAATATAGTTTACTATCACACCCCCGCAAGCGAAACTTGGGAGGTGCAAACAGTGAAGTGGATCTAAATTTGTTAAACAGACAGGTCGGGAGGCCTTTGGTGAATATGTCAGCATGTTGAGACAACAAATAATGTGAAGAACACGAACTTGACCAAAGGCAAAAAAAATCTTGTCCATTGTAGGTAATTTATTTGGGTTCAAAGCCTTGCTTGCTCCACGTCGGGAAGAAAGCTCCTAGAGAAGTCATTAGAGGGATCTTTCCTATCAAAATACAAAATGGACGTCCATCTCAACGTGTTTAGCGCGTTGGTGCTACATAGGATTGCAGGACAAATACACCAATTTAGGAATTATGTAACTCGCATAATATATTTTACCATCACTACTTCCAAAAGCTTCATTTTGATATCTATGAAGAGACATCTCAAAGAAAGAAGTTTAATAAATCATTATTATAAGGATTTTTTATTTACAAAGTTATAATACGTTTCATTTCAAAATGAAGCTTTTGAAACAATGTTCCCTGTAACAGGAGCCGGAACAAAATACGTCTCATTTTGATGCAATTTGCCCACTCTTAAATATATAAGATAATTATTTTTAGATTTTGTATGCATAGGAGAAACAAAACGTGATATTATGTTATTTTGATACAATTTCTTTACTAAATGACTCGTTTCATTTCCCTTGATGCAATTACTTGAGAGGATTGGGATAATTCTCTCAAAGTTGACCAAAGTCGAATGATCTTTCCTTAATTTTTTGAAACACTTAATTGAGCGAGTAGTTGCTAATTGAAGCAGCACGGGTCACCTCACCCTTAGGTATAGCCAATTAAGCCTAACCAATTGAATCAGTGCAACATTTTATAGCTCCGGTGATCACGTAAGCAGGGTAAATGAGGTTTGTTAGAACGCTACTTTTTAGCTCAAGGTTTTCAATCCCCGAGTAAAAGCAGCAAGTTTTACTGACGTTGAGAAATGCGACGACATACATTGACACTCATGATAAGTTATGGTGGTTTTTAATATGTGTGTGTGTGTATGCATGCATGTAAGTCGGGATTTGTTGATATCTTCTATACACTGTCGATTCCCTTGAGGGGACTTGCGATTCTATTTTGCACAAATTTATTCAATTTTATTACTATTCAGGGTGGTCGTCAGAATTCGGTTTCCATATCAAATGCATCTCAATCAACTAGACATGGACCAGTTTCCGCTAGTGGGCCATCCGTGCCCGCACCAAGGGGTCCACCGATGATCGGTAAAATGAAACAAGAAGGACACGTGTCATCTGCTAAGGCTGGTGACAAATTCGCTTCTAATGGACAGCCACCCGTTAACAACTTTGCTAACGCTTCTGACCATAAGTCACTGAAGGTTCGTATCAGAGTTGGCTCGGATAACTTGACGACACGAAAAAATGCTGAAATCTACAGTGGACTTGGCCTTGACGTCTCTCCCTCATCATCATTGGAAGCCAGTCCTGTAGATAGTGACGATTTTTGTCATGTGCCTCGTGACAGTCCGTGTGATGGATCGCCCACTAGTATTCTCGAGGTTGGTAATGTCCCTAATATTTTTTCATTCCATCTTTTTCTATGTAAAATTTGCTTAAAGAGTAAGGGGCTCTTTGGTTGGTTTTCCATTAAGTTCTGACTCCTGTATGTGTAAAGATAACTGTGTGGATTAATCTGCTTGTATAGATTGGGAGGGTTTTTGTTTGGGAGAGTTTTTCATAGATGGAAGGAGGTGTTTTTATTTGGGAGGGAAGATTTTGAAGAAACTTGGCTTTCTGCATGAAGCTCCCCCAAGAAGCTTACCAAAGCTACTTTCTATAACATGAAGCCACTACCAAACAGTCATGTATAGCTGACTGAATAAGCTGTGTCTCCCATTAAGCTCATTAAGGGTATGTTTGCTAGTAGCTTAATGGGACTCACAGCTTATTCAGTCAGCTATGCATAACTGTTTGGTAGTGGCTTAATGATATAGAAATTGGCTTATTGAGTAAGCTTCTAGGAGGAGCTTTATGCAAAAAGCCAAGTTTTTTCAAACCTTCCCTCCCAATAAAAAACATGCTTCTTCTACCTATAAAAAAATCCTCCGAAACAAAAAACCTTCTCAACCTATACAGACAGATTAATCCGTACAGACAACTTTATCCATACAGGACTTGATGGAAAACCAACCAAACATCCCCTAAGTTGTTAACAAACAGGCCCTAAGACTTTCGTTTTGATTCTGCAACAGACTATGACGTCGTTTCCGATACTTGGAGGTCGGCTGTTATCCCCACTTCCGGATGATCTTTTATTCTTGACGGAAAAAGAAAAGTGGGAGGATAGTAGTTGTGGCTCGGTTCATAAGAGAAGCCAAGAAAGTTTTTTGACGGTTAATAGGTTCGATTCTAAAGCTGATCGGAACATTATCTGTGAGAAGAAGCCAAAGTCATCTGACGATAATTTTGTTTCGGTGGACCCCACAAATGGTAACAATGTTTGTAGTGAAAAAGATGGTGTAACAAAGAAAGAAGTGAACATGGATAATTTGTCTTGTGAAGAACTTGTTTCTAATGCTTTAAAGCTCCCTCTTTTATCCAATCCAAATGGTAATAATGTTTTGGATTTCAGAAAAGGTTCCGCCTTTAAAGGTGGATCATCGAGTATACCAAAAGAAGAATCATCGGATCCGGTAATGACCCACGATGATTCTCATGTTGAGAAGCCGTATAGAAAAGATGGTCCAGTTGGAAATGCAAATTCTGATGATAAGTATTCGGGTTTCCCTACAAAATCTGATTCAGATGTTTCAAGAGGTGGTAAGATTCTTGATTCCGGACTAGTAAAGCCGTCAAAACCGAAGACCGCTCAGAAAGCCACGTCACGTGAAAAAGACGGTGTGAAATTGGCTACGGGCAAGGAGACGTCATCTTCTGGTGGAAAAAAGAAACCGAAAGGAAGCCAGAGTTTGGAAAATGGTTTCCAAAGTGTGGAGGTCTCGAAAAGCTGTTTAAAGAATGATTCTTATGCCAAAAGTAGGAACAACGCTTGTGGGTCGAAAGTGGAAGATTTGAAGATCAATAACGGAAAGGTGAGAGAGACGTACAAAGATTTTTTTGGGGAACTTGATCCGGAACTTGATGAATTTGATGACATGGGATTGGAGGAAAAGCCATTTGGGGACAAGCCAAAGGACTATAGAATTACTGAAAAGGGTACTTTAGAAAGTAATAATTCATCGAAAGAGAGACTAAATGGAAGGAAAGGCCCGAAGCCATCTTCGTCAGCATATCCGGGGGTGGGCCCACATACAACGTTTACAACGGGAAATGCGCCTGTTTCTGATGCAGCTTCTGCAGTGGCTGCTGTTGAAGATTGGGTCTGTTGTGACAAATGTGAAAAATGGAGGCTTCTTCCACCTGGTGTAAATCCCGGCAGCCTTCCTGAGAAGTGGCTTTGTAGCATGCTCGATTGGCTGTAAGTTCTTTTTTTCCCTATATCTATTGTTTATGGATCAGGTTTAGGGGAAAACCGAAAAAAGTGAGAAACTGAGGAATACCCTGGTAACTGTTCATCTGGACGGTATGCACATGTGCATGCAAGAAATTTGTAAGCAATTTGTCCGGTATGCATACGTGCATAGAAACCAAGAAAAACTTCAATTCTTGTATATACATGTGTATACCGTCCTAATGAATGGTTACTAAAGTGTTCCTCAATTTTTCATTTTTTTGGGGTTTTCATATGAACCTCTCTCTATTATATATATATATATATATATATATATATATATATATATAAATAGAGGAGTGATCAAATAAAAACCGTCCTCATTTGTGTAAACCGTGCAAACCACCTTCATCCGTCGATTTCATTGTTTAATCTTATGAAATTTTTTCATGAAATTGTTTAATCTTGTGAAATTGTTTCATATAATACTTGTTTTGATCAAGTTGTTTCATATATGATTGTGAAATTGTTTCATATAATACTTAATGAARCTGTTTCATGTATTTCTCTAAAATTAATGAAACTGTTTCATGTATTTCTCTAAAAATTAAAATAATGAAGATAATATCTATGATTAACACCCTCCGCAATAAAAATGATTAATCAACCTCTCATAATTACAAAAAAATGAACAAAATGAAAAATTATGATTGGTTGAATGAGGTTTGCACGGTTTGTACAAATTGAGTGGTTTGCATTTGATCGCTCCCCTATATAGATATATATATATATATATATATAGAGAGAGAGAGAGAGAGAGAGAGAGAGAGACGTGGGATCGTGTGAGAATAACTGTTATGGTGAGAATACTTCTGAGACTTTTGATGAGTTGACTTTTTAATCTAACTTCATTTTTCTTCAGTACCTTCATCTACCGTTACCTTCAATTTTAGTCGGTTTCACGGACTTTTGCATGGATTTGGCATGGATTTGTTAATGTTTTCATCATGATGATAAAAATAGGTTAATAAAGGTAGTTGAAGTTATATGAATGTATAACTATTAGTCTCATCGGAACCTGACCCTATATGTTATATTAAATGAAATTAGCATGCGTCATCACGTGATTGGTGGGACGAGAAGGGGGACATGGGATTTGGCGAAGATTCTAAATTCAAATGGTTCTTTTATATCAATAGTTTTGTTACAAAAGAAGCATAAGGCCTTCTGACATATTTCAAACATTTGAAACATTGATAGGCCTGGAATGAATCGGTGTAGCATCAGTCAAGAGGAGACAACGAAGGCTATAACATCCCGTTTTCTGGGCCCTGCTCCTATGATTCAAGGTTCTCAGCCCGTTCATCCTGGCGGACCCCAATCAGGAGCCATGTCCATTGATGCTCTCCATCTTGATCAAAGACACCAACCTTTTGGTCCACCAATGGGTGTAAAGAAAAAACATGGAACGAAAGATCCACCAAATGAATCGAAACCGGACAGACCCTCTTTGTCTTCTAACTCTACAAAAAAGAATCTTCATGCGTCAAATAAAACGAGAAGCTTGAATGGTGCAAACCCGTCTTCTTTTGAACTAGAATTTCAAGATTCTGGGCATTCTAGTAACTTGATTGCAGAAAAACAGAAATTTAAGCACAAAGAGAAGAAGAAACTACGTGAAAACGTTGTGGATGAAGGTATCATAATGGAAAGTAAAGTTAAATTTTTTTGCCAACCCTTTTTTATCGAGTTTTCAATGTGTATTTTGTTGGTTTTTGACACTTTTCACAGGTAATAATGCGTATCAATTGAAGATTAGGAACAAAAGAGAGACTAGTCAAGATTATATAAGGGATTCCAAGAAAGTGAAGACGGAAGACAATCATGGAACTGATAAAGATCGAACCTTTGACCATGATGGAGCTGTCTTTAAGGAAATTAAAAGCTCTGTTAGTGATATACCTGTAGGCGTTTCAAGGAAAGACCATCGAGAATACGATGAACGACCTAAAGATTCAAAACCCGACTCAAAAGTTTTGGGTATTAATCTAAAAAATCAAAACGGGATCTTTCACATGGTAAAACGTGAGGAAAGAGATGTTGCCAAGAAAAGGAAATCTAGTGAATTTGAGGATGCCCAAGTGAATGTAGAAGAAATGAGCGAGAGTGGGCAGAGGAAGGCCAAAAAAGTAAAAGTACCCGATTCTCGGAAGGAAGAAAGAGGTAGAAATGTGAAAGATGAGCAAGTAAAGAGCTTGGATATAATGGATTCTTGTAAAAGAGATGTGGCAATGCATGCTTCATTGGCTGCTACTTCGAGTTCTTCGAAGGTTTCTGGTTCTCATAAAACTAAACCGAATAACCAGGAGGCAAAAGGGTCACCGGTGGAGTCTGTTTCTTCGTCTCCTTTGAGGATTTCAAATCCCGATAAGCTCGTGTCTTCTAGAAAGAACGTTGAAGCTGTTGATAACTGTCGAGATGCTGTCAGTCCGAAGAAGGATTGGGATGATGATAGAGGGAGTTATCGATCCAGCACGTTCAAGAAGGAAGATGTAGTGGAATCAATAGAGAAAGGTTTAGGTCACTTATCGAGTAATAACGGTAAAGCGGAAATCATGCCTTCTCTTGAATTTGAAACTTTACATGTTGGTGGGGACGGTGTTGATGCTTTAGACCAAGGTGGGCAGTACTCTAATGGGGTGGGTCAAGGCCATAATGAAGAAAGGAGGAATAACGATCAGTCTCACGCCACCGGCTCTCGTGCAAGGAAAAACGGGAAAGGATCATCTTCGAGATCAAAAGACAAAATTCGGAGTTCTAAATTTGATATAAAGATATCTGAGCGTATGAATGAAAACACAGATGTTCCTACTCATGAAGAAAAATCAAAGGGGGGACGAAACAAATCTCAAGAGAAACTGTCCATCAATTCTGATAAGTTTGAAAAGGGGTCTGTTTCAAAGAAAGAGTCCTCCGGAAAACATTTGAGCGAGAGTGCTAAACGAGACGCCCAATTGAAACACGGACACCATGATGATGTTATCTCAATACCGGATATCAAGCAGAACCCGCCAACAGAACGTGACGGTAAAAGATTTTCAAAGCGGGATGTTTCTGGAAGAGGAAAGCCGCTCTCTTTGCCTCCTTCTGGTAAAGCTCAAAACGAGACCGCACGACCTCCCCAACCTATTCTCGTTTCTCAGAAAGAAAATGCAGGAAATATCGATGCCGTTGAGGGATCTGATTCAGCATCAAAAGGATTAAAACAGAAAAAGGGAAGGGATCCCATTTCTCAGAATGGAAGTCAGTCCATGAACGTAAGGCATCCAACCCCGAATAGACATAAGGGACGAGATCATGATGCACCGAGTCCCCTTAGACGGGAATCATCCAATCAAGCTGCAACTGCTGTAAAAGAGGCAAAAGCTCTTAAGCACATGGCTGATCGCCTTAAGGTTTACAGCGATCCTTTTTTTACGTTAAATCATGTTCATTTGTGTTGCACTGTGTGATGATTGGAGTAATCTGGCTGGTTTTTGCAGAATTCTGGATCGAACCACGAGAGTAACTCGCTTTATTTTCAAGCAGCTCTTAAGTTTCTTTATGGATCGTCTTTATTAGAATCGTGCAATAGTGAGAGTGGCAAACATGGTGATATCATTCCGTCAATGGGCATGTACAGTAGCACTGCAAAACTTTGCGAGTAAGTAACAACTAGACATCCTATTATACCCTTTTCAAATAAATATAACAGGCCTTTTATTCGACTTTAATTAACCGTTATTGTGACCTCAGTAATCTAATTTCAGTTTAATCGGTTCGTTTACATGATAAGACAAAACAAAAACTTGTAGTCTCACGTTTGCTGTATTGGTGGGCTGTTAGACTGTAGGACAGGACTGAGTAGGAGAAAAATGCATCTTTTTGTCCCACCAAAAAAGGCGGAACGAAAATTGGGGAGGTGGGAAGAAATTGGTAAATTACTAAAATACTCGTGTCAAATTAAGGGCCTGTTCGTTAGCAGCTTAATGGGTTAATAGGACTTGAAACTTATTTAGTCAGTTATACATGACTCTTTGGTAGTGATTTAATGAAATAGAAAATGGCTTATTCAGTGAGGTTCTAGGGGGGAGCTTTATGCAGAAAGCAAAGTTTTTTCCAAACATGTGCCTCCCAATTGAAAAACACGCTCATTCCATCTATGGAAAAACCCTCCCAAATAAAAAGCTTCCGAATCTATACAGACATATTAAACCACACAGACAGTTTTCCCCATACAGGACTTGATGGAAAACCAACCAAACAGCCCCTAATCATAAACCTTAAAGAATTCTTTCATCAGCCTACCTCACTCTTGCGTATCCAGTCTGCATGCCAAACACACCCAAAACGAATCTTGAGATTGATCAACTTGTATTTATTTGATGAATCCGTATCATTTCTGTTGTTTCCAAGTATAGAGAGATTTCTTCATGTGAAAAGGTGCTCATATATATATATATATATATATATATATATTCATTTCTTTTATCAATGTTTGGTTAATAGGTATGTCGCTCATGAATACGAGAAATCAAAAGAGATGGCCGCTGCAGCTCTGGCTTACAAATTAGCCGAGGTGGCATACTTAAAGGTGGTCTATTCTTCACATACCGGTGCCTCCAAAGATCGGCAGGAGTTGCAAACGTCTCTTCAAATAGGTCCGACAGGTATATTAGTAGTTACTTTGTTTCTTGTGTCTTTTTTGTCTGAAATTTTCTTGATTTATTGCATTTTAAGTTGCACATTTCTCTTGTACTCCGTCTCATGAAAAATATTAACTTTTTATTCAACACGTAATGAGATCTTTTTACCATCGGTAAATTATCTAAAATTCCCTTAATAAAGACGGGTTCTGCTAGAAAAAGAATCAAGTGAACCCAAATCGATAGCGGGAATTTATTTGTAGCAAATAGGCAACTTTTTACTTGGAATCTTCCTGGAAAAAAATAGTTGCAATGTTGATGAGATGTATCAAAAGGGAAAGTTTTGCATCTTTTATGCTGACAGATGGAGTATATGACAAGGGGAGGTTTAAATGAGAACCGTAAATATTTTGAGAACTTAAGAACCAAGTATTAATGTATTGTTCATGATGAATATTCATCACAAATATTATTTGTAATGAAATTGGATGGTATTCATGATGAATGATATTCATGAATATCTTGGGTTATTCATAATGAATAATACATGAAATAATTGGTTTTCAGGTTCTCAAAACCAACTTTTTCTTTATGATAAGGAATACTTAGAGTAATTAATATGTATATATATACAGACACATATTGTATTTGATTACTTCACATATGAATCTTGTTGGTCCCAATTTGTAGGCGAGTCTCCTTCTTCCTCCGCCTCCGACATCGATAACTTGAACAACCCAGCGGCTGTTGACAAAGCCACCCTACCCAAAGGTGTTAACGACCCCCAAAATGGCGGAAATCATATAATCGCTGCTCGAAATAAACCCAACTTTTTGCGAATACTTAACTTTGTAAGTTCCCTCTTGAAAACCCATGAATCATCTTCTGTTTAACTCGTAGCTTTCAGCATCTTACATCTAAATCTTTTCAGGCACAAGATGTCAACTTTGCAATGGAGGCTTCAAGGAGATCTCAAAGTGCTTTTGCAGCCTCTAATTCACCACCCGAACATAAAGAAGTAATTAAACCAGCTCTCGATTTCAACTTTCAAGATGTCGAAGGATTGTTACAACTGGTTCGGGTTGCAATGGAAGTAATTAGCAGGTGATTAGGACAGTTTGATGATGTGGGAAACCTTAATACAGAGGAATTAACCTCTAATCTTGGGGGTATTTTGGGAAGAGAAAAGATTTATGGTGGATTTCGTTTTCAAGATATCAGCAACCCCTTTTGTACAAGTGTACATACAGTTAGTAGAGTTTGAAGTGGCATTAGTTTCTGATACAAATAAAGACCCAAGATTCAATACTTCTGATCAAGGCTTGATTTTGAACATGATTTAACTTTTAATAAAAAAAAGTTGCAGATTGAAAGATTGATCAGATGGTTGCCAAAAAACAATTTGTTGTCTTTGATTGTCATTTGGAGAATCATAATCTTGCTGAAGTGGAGGGCAGTGACTTCAATTTTCTGTGTTTCCAGGTACCTTTCATATGAACCGGGTTTATGGTTTATAAGATAGTGTGTGTGTGTGTGTGTATATATATATATATATAGAGAGAGAGAGAGGGAGCTTTAGGGGAAAACCAAAAAAAAAACTGAGAAATACCCTGGTAACCATTCATCTGGATGGTATGTACATGTGCATACAAGTAATTGAAGTTGTTTCTTGGTTTTTATACACGTGTGTATGTTATGCACATGTGTATAGTTGACAAATTGTTTATAAATTACTTGTATGCACCTGTGCATATCGTACAGATGAATGGTTACTCGAGTGTTTCTCAAATTTTCATCTTTTGCGGTTTTCCCACCTTCGACCAGCTTGTATTTGTGAGACTCATGAAACCACAAAATAGCATTGAAACTTCACAACAAAACATTGTGAAGGTATGAAAACACCGAACCTTCAAAAACAATGGGATGGTCTACTTACCTTCATAGTATTTTACTGTGAAGGTTCAGTGTTATTTATGTGGTCTCACAAAAACAACCTGGTCTGACATGATCCCAAGTCTAGTTTTTAAGGTTATTTGTTTATAATACATGATTTTGATTTTGGTTCTGAGTGCAGTTGATGATTGTGTATATAATGGTGTCGGTGTTGGTGTCGGTGAGTTAGATTACATTCAGCAGTGACGGAAGTTGTCAAGTAAATACTTGATGCAGCGTTGATGGTTTAACGGGTAAGATTGAATTGCTTTCTTTGTTTTTTTTTACGATTATTAATGAGATTATGAAATATCATGTATTTTTGTATGGTCAACTCATGTAGGACTAGGTTTAAATGAGAACCGTAAATATTTTGATAACCTAGAACCAACTATTCATGATGAATGTTGTGATATATAATCCAAGATGAGAATTATTCATGATTATTTTAAGTTTATGAAAATATTTGGTTTCCATGTTCTCAACATCTCATTTGATTATACCCTTATATATATATATATATAGAGAGAGAGAGAGAGAGAGACAGAGCGCATGTATGTGTGTGTGAGGTTCATACGATGACGGTAACCAAATAAGAGAATAAGAAAAGGGTCAAATCATATATGATTCACACGACTTTGTCCATGTCACCTGCACACCTTTGTGTTGATCGCGAATGTAAATCACATGTGATTTTTTTGACCGTTTTTGTTTTCTTTTATTTGGTGGTTATTTTCATTTGAACCTTCCTCCGTGTACGTGTAGGTCCCCTTTTTAGTAATGTAAAGGAATGGGCACAAATTGTTTTTGCACTGTTATTATTATTGTGGTTCTGATTTATGGATGGTTTTTGTTTTCTTTGGGTGCAGATGAATGGTGGGGAAATGCGTTGATGATGATGAAAGGATTTGTATTGCATATAAAGGGTCCACAATATGGACCTTTGGAACAGTATATGTATGAGAGACACAGATAATAACATTTGTAGAATCTTATACGTTTTTTACATGAAATCCTGACCAATGTTTGTTGGCTTCGCACATCCGTTTTTTAAATCTGATCAAGGAAAAAAAAACCATTTTATAATCCGCATTCCATTTTCCCACCAATTTTGTACTGTCATTAAGTATTCTAATAGACCACTTTATAGGATTTAAGTCTATGTGATTAAACATGTATGTATCCTATCAAAAAGTAATGTAAAAAGTGATACTTTTGAAGTAGAGTGTCCTATTGTTTTTTTATAACACTTTTATAGGACACATGTTTTATAAGACACTTTTCAAGTAGGTACATACATATGAAAAGGTAGCAAGATATTTTGTTTCAAAAGTGTCTTAAAAAGCTTTTTAAGATGCCAAAAAGACATATAATAATAAACTTTTCACAACTTTTTTAGATATGATATGTAAGTGTCTGGTTTTATAAACTCAAATTGTGTAAAATAGTGTATTAAGATCCGAACATTTTTGATGTCCGATAAACCAAATTTTATTGTAGTGAGAAGTATTATTAGTTTTTCTGGTAAAGCGTTGCACCTCTCAAGCCATATTTTCTAAATGACCCAATGCCAATCCAATTACAATTTGATCTTGTAAAAGTTCTGTGAGTTTATTTTTCAAATGATTCATAATGATAAAGGCTCGTCTTGCAGTCAGCAAGGGCATGTATTTACATTTTCATTCTGCAAACAATTCTGAAAATTTTTAATTATTAATTTATTATAAAACATGTAAAAAGAACGATTTTTGCATCTATCAGATTCTTATCTTGATTATTGTCATGTTCTATGTACCAAATGTAGGACAACAAATTCATGTACTTTCATATATACCAAACACAACATCAAGTCCTTGGTTCAAACATTCTTTCAAACTTCGACCAGACCTGACTACTCGTGCACAATGTTTGTCAAAATTGTTCCATACAAAGAATGGGTCCGTCTGGTTTGGTTTGCTTTGGTTTGGTTTGCTAGATTTAGCAGGATTTTGAATTGGATTCCTTTCCAATCCCGCATTTGGTTTAAAATGAAATTCTAGAATTGAAACCTCAGGACTTCAATGAAATCCCACAAACAGTACTTGTCATTTGACACAAAAGGTACATGCATCACGCCACGAAGTCCCAAGAACTATGCTAATAAACCCAAATGGGGTCCAGGGACATCCAGGTCGCTGGTAAAGCCCACCTCCCAGGGGGTCAAGTGTTCAAACCTCGCTAAATGTGAGTAGTGTGTATGAGTATTTGCATTATATAACTTTAAGAAATTATGCTAATAAATAGGTTTTCTAGGTAAGAAATAATCATGCCTTTTGGAGTTCTTATTGGGTGAAAGGCATGCTAGAATTACTCCATCAATAGATTCCTAACCTTAGAGGGAAGTTCCCTAAGGAACCCACCCCCAGAACCATTCACAGCGTGTCACATGTCCTGATGAATATGAAAGTGTTATTCATCATGAATCACACATTCATGATGAACATGAACGTGATGAATAACACATCCATATTCCTGATGAAAATGTCACATGTAGCACTGTGGGCAGCCCCCGCTTCCTAACAAAACCTGCCCCCTAATCTTATTCCGAAAGAAACACGAAACTGTGCAAAAGACTGCTCAGTGCACTTTTATCAAATAACATCTTAAATGTTCTCTAAAAGAGTTTCAATATGTCAACTGCACAAAAACCAACTGTCCAAGTAATATATCCACAAAGGGGATTGATTGTTGGACCCGAACACCCCC